CCATCCCCCTCCCCCCCTCCGCGCGCGGCTGATGTCCAGTGACGCCCTCCGACCGGCTCCACGCAAGGATGGCCTTTGCCAAGGCTGACCTTTGGTGCGCTGCTGCTCGGGGGGCGCGCACCCCCCCCCGAACAACAAAAAACCTCCAGGCGCCGTCGGGGGGCTGCAGGTGCGCCCCCAAGTGACCCTGCAGGCCCAGGACCAGGGGTGGCCCGGGCGAAAGGGCACCCCTTGCGCATCGCCGAGCACCCGCTGGAAGCGCTCCCCGACCCGCTGGATCTGTTCCTCCAGGCTCAGCTCGAGCTGGTTGTCGAACTTCCGGTACATGAAGACCCTGAGGATGAAGACCGGCACCCCGATCAGGAGCAGAGGGTGGACCACCGCCGCGCCCACCCGGCAGGCCCCGAGCTGCCAGAGCATGGCCGCCGCGCCCAACGCCACGGCCAGCCAGCCTCCTGTAACCTCATCGCAGCAGCTCAGGAGGACGCCCAGCGCTGCAGCGAGCGCAATGGCGCCGCTGGGGCCCGGCCAGCCCAGCAGCGGACCGTAGAGGACAAACGAGGCACCACAGGCCACCTTCAGCAGCACGGACTCTAGCTCTCTGACACATTCAGGCACGCGCTTCTCTAGTCCAATTACCAGGATGCTCCTTAGCACCAGCAACCAGGCGCCGACCGATACGAGGACCAAGTCCGAGATTGGATACCCTTCGGCCATAAGCGCGTGACCCGCAACGCGCCCCTCTCCGGCACCCCAGGCAGGACAGCGCTGCTGAGAAAAGGGCAAAACTTCGGCCGAGATGGCCACGGCGTCGCTCCCGAAGGGAGACTGCAGAGGAAGAGCAGAGGAAGGGCTGCTGCCGCTCCTGATCCTCCAGCAGGCCGGAGGGGGGGGGGGGGGGGGGGGGCGAAAGCGGCATCGCTCGCACCAAAAACGCCCCGGGGGGAAGGCCCTACGTGAGGCTAGGCGGTGGCGCCAGGGCGCCAGCATCATATTCAATCAATCACTCAATAACAGGTAGTTGTGTCGCTGTGCGTCGCCCTGAATGGCACACTACGAAGCCTCCAAATGTGCCCATCACTCAGTGGAGCAAGCAGGTATCCGCAGGACCCCCCCTTGCGTGAGCCATCGGGCTGCAAGGGTCAGGCTACAGAAACTGAGCAGCCTAACTCTCGTCAGCGCACAGGGCAGCAAATCGCGCCGCGGCAGTGTCCCCAGGAACTCAGCACAAGGGTTGCCGAGGTTGTTCTAGTGTCCGGTTCGCATCGCACGAAAACAATCGGCTCTTAAGACGTGACATTTTGAATGCGAGCCCCCTCGGCCAGAGAGCGCCCTTGCAGCACCACCGAATCACATCCTCAGAATTTCTGGGTGGCCTGAGATACGCAAAAATACAGATCCCTCGTAAAACACTTTTCGGGCACAACGGGGTCTGGGACGCGCTGATGCTTCGGCCGCTTGCTGCTGATGCTGCCCATTGCCACCATTCGCGACTGCGTGATGCTGCTCAGTTGTGTTCGCTGCTGCGTGTTGCAGCGCGCTTTTGCTGGCTGCTGCGTTCTGCTGCATCCTGTATTAAATGTCAGCTGAACCGTCTCCTCCTCATCTTCCTCCTGCTCCGCTTCAAGAATCATCACTAATTCATGTCGCGCCTCGTTATCACTCCTCCTCGTCCTCCTCCTCCTCGTCCTCCTCCTCCTCATCATCAGCATCATCATCAGCACCATGAGAATCATCATCAGAATCATCCTCATAATAATCATCAGCATCATCACCACCACCACCACCACCACCATCATCATCATCATCATCATCATCATCATCATCATCATCACCAGCATAAGCATCATCATCATCATCATCATCATCATCATCATCATCATCATCATCATCATCGTCATCGTCATCAGCATTATCATCATCACCATTACCATCATCATCATCATCATCATCATCATCATCATCATCATCGTCATCATTACCATCAGCATCATCATCATCATCATCATCATCATCATCATCATCATCATCCGAATCATCATCCGAATCATCATAATCATACCCGTCGTCGGCATCGTCAGCATCATCAACATCATCATCGTCATTGACATCACCACCTACACCACCACCATCATGAAAAACGGCGTCACCAGCATCATCGGCCTCATCATCATCACCAACAAAAACAACATCATCATCAGCATTAGCAGCATCAGAATCACCATCATCAGAATCATCCTTATCGTCATCACCACTATCGTTATCATAATCATCCTCCTCAGCATCATCATCAGCATTATCATAGTCAGCATCACCAACATCACAATCCCCATTCTTAGCACCATCGTCAACATCATAATCACAATCAACATCGTCGGCACCATCATCACCATCATCACGATCAACAGACGCTGCATCACCATCATCATCAGCATCATCATTATCATAATCGACATCATCCCCATCAGTTCCCTCATCATCACCGTCATCACCATCATCATCATCATCATCATCATCATCCTCATCATCATCATGATCATCATCATCACCATCGTCAACATCAGCATCACCAACATCACTGTCATCAGCATAATGATACACGTCGCCGTCATCGTCACTATATTCAGCATCATCATGAAGTCACCACCGACACCATCAGATCACAATCAAACGTGTCAACATCATGCTCATCGTCATCCTCGTCATCCTTTTCTTGATCATCATCAGCCTGCTCATCATACGTCATCATCAGCATCAGCATCATTATCAACAGCACCTTGATCGTCATCCTTACCAGTATCATCTCCTCATCGCGAGCAGCGCCATCCTAATCACCGCCATTACATATCACCGCCAACAACATCATCACTGGCATCAGCATCAACATCATCAGCAACAACATCAGCATCAGCAACACCATCACCTCCACCACCACCATCCACATCACCACGACGGCCACGACCACCAGCACCATCACCAACATCATCATCATCCTCATCATCAGAAGCAGCATCATCAGCATCATCATCAAGCATCAACATCATCATCACAAGCCTCATCCTCATCATCACCATCATCATCATCATAATAGTCATCATCATCATCAGCATCATCATCATCATCGTCATCGTCATCATCATCCCAATCAGCTCCATCATCATCACTGTTATCATCATAAGCAGCACCATCGTCAGCATCAACACCATCACCATCATCGTCAGAATCACCACCATCATCACCATCATCATCCTCGCCATCATCATCATCATCATCATCATCATCATCATCATCATCATCAGCATCAGCATCATCATCATCATCATCATGACCATCACCATCATCAGCATCATCATCATCCTCGTCATCCTAATACTCATCCTATCCCTCCTCCTCATCATCTTACTCCTCTTCCTGGGGACTGGCTCTCCGTCCCGAGTCGCCTTCCCACGGCCCCCGGGGGCGGGGAGACGGCCTCCAGGGTTCCGGACGCACAGCGGGGTGAGAGGCAGCCCGCGGCGCGACGCCCAGAGGTCGGAAAGGGCAGCTCGCGGCGGCGGCGGGCTCTCCCCCGGCCTCGTTGTCCCTCTCCAGGATCCGCCTCCGCTGGTCCAGCTCGGCCTCTCGGGGCGCGGCGAGCGGCGGGGGGGGGGGGGGGCGCTTCCGACACGCGCCACCGCGGCGAGCGGCGGGGGGGGGGGGGGGGAGCGCTTCCGACGCGCGCCGCCGCGCACGCGCGCGCGCACGGGGCAGAAAGCAGGGCCTCGCCGAGGCGGCCGAGCGAGGGAGCAGGAGGAGGAGAAGGAGGAGGAGGAGGAGGAGGAGGAGGAGGAGAGGGAGGAGGAGGGGGAGGGGGAGGGGAGGAGGAGGGGTAGGGGGGGATTTCGCACCGAGCGCTCGAGCCGCCCAAAAAGGGGAGGAGGATGAGTGGGGGGGGGGGGACGGCGGGCGGCAGCGCCTGCGCCTCCCGTGCTGGCCCGCGCGTGGATGGCCTGCGCCTTCGCGCTGGCGCCTGGAATGAGGCCCTCCTGGAGTATCGTTTAACCGATCCCCATCCCCAGCGGCGTGGCCTGGGCCCCGCTGGCCGATTTACAGTCGGGGCGTTGACCTAAGGAACCCTAAATAAGGAACGAGGCCCCTTTTTTCCATAAGTTAAGCTTCGAATTCCAATCGGAGACCCAAGGAAAACCAAAGGCGAGCTGCAAAACAACTAAGGAACACTGAGCCCCTCCCAAACGAAAGGGGTTCCTTCTTCAGCGCCCCGACTGTACCCCCCTAGATGGGGATATAGGTCGTTATCTTCGGGTTTCGAGGGGTGCATCCCCAACTGGGGTGGCAATTTGGTGGGGGTCTCGAAGGGATGGAGATGGGGATGGGGATCGAATAAAAGATGCCGACTTCCTGAACCTCTGGAGATTCTCACCTCCTTTCTTTGTGGGAGGCTTACACTCCTGGGCTAAATTGAAAATCGAACGATCCATGCCGCCCTCTCCCACGCCGGTCCTCCTCCCCAAGGGGTGGAGGGTCCCAGGGGGGAGTCCTTTTCCTCCTCCTCCTCCTCCTCCTCCTCCTCATCCTCCTCCGTATCTCCGCCTCCTCCTCCTCCTCCTCCTCCTCCTTCTCCTCCTCCTCCCCCTCCTAGTCGTCGTCGAGGTCTTTCAGGGTCGACGGCACCAACTGTCAGGCCTTCACAATTGATAATCGAACGATCCATGCCGCGACATCCGCATGTCGTGCATGCCCAACAATCAGCAAAGTCAAAAACTGAACTGCGCGGGATGGATGCACGGTCTGATCGGCGGCCAGGGAAGAGGACGGGGCAGCACTGAGATCGATCGGAACACATGCGGCGCCGAATGATTTGACAATTCCTCTTTGCGCTGGCGCCTGGTGGAACAACACACCTAACATCCGATATCCATCAAAACTCGAACCTGGGCGGTGGGGAAAAGAGCCCACCGCGTTCTCAAGGAGGGATTGGTCAGGCAGGCGGACACCTTCGAGAGGTCTAGCCCGCTATCCCTGCTCCCTAGAGTCATGACCCGCACATGCGACCAGGGTTGCTGCGAGGCGAACTCTGACCTGCTCTGCGACAGCCGACAGCGTCCACTCCTAGTACGCCGCTCGCAATGTCGGGATCTGCTGGCACTGCCAAGCCTCCCACCCCGACAAACGATCAGCTTCGACAATGGCCAACCGAAAAATCCCGGCGAGACCACTTAATTGGAACCTGTCAGCACGGATATGGCTCTCAACCTTGGTCGCCTTACATAAGCCGGTCCTGACGCGGAGCATAGAGGCGACGGCAAACCACCAATCTCGATTGGACATAGGAAGCCCGCCATTCTGGACTCGGTGCCGATTCCTCTCCACATCGCCGCTGTCGGCGAAAATAAAAAAAGGTGTCTACATGCGGGGTACAGCATGAAGAGCACTGCCACTCGGCTCTGTTACTGGTCTGACGCCTGCCGCCGACGGGGGAGAGCTGCGCCTTCAGAGGACCTCGGCATCAGGGCTGGACCCCGCGATCTCGACCCACGCAAGCAACATCTCCTCGGACAAGGGCCCTTAACATGTTCACCTCCCGAGCTACCTCCCTCGAGCAGCTGCCCGTGCGCATCAGAAGGCGCACCGTTCACCAGACGCGGGTCCTGGTCCGGAGTCGCCGGCCCCTTGTCACCCGCAGCATACGACACATCACGGACGACGACGACGTCGGGCGGGCAGGGGTAGGGCCACGAAGCCAAGAACACCGGTTCGGATCAGCGCCCGAGGCTTCAGCTGCAGCCTCGATGCAACCCCGCGATCCAATGCACTCTGGATGATCGGCGTTGCAACGACACTCCCATGCTCGCTTGCGCAAAGACTGGGGTGCCATGCGGCACCTCGGACAAGTGGGGTCGAATTCTCGGATCCCAAGCCCAGCGATGCTTTGCACTGGCCACATACTTGCGGCAGTAGGGCGTTCGATGGCGCCTCGACGTTCGCACTCCTGGGTCTTGCCTGAGCGAACGAACGGCTGACGGATGCTGAGTATCGACCCCGCCTTCCAGGCCACCTTCAGCGGCTGGGCGGAGGCGCCCGCCCCATGCGGCGTCTCCACAGTGGTACGACCAGCCGCCAGGAGGTCCGAGGGATCGGAAGCCTCCAAAAGGGAGCGGACAGCCAAAGGGGGGGCGGGGCCCCCCACAGCTAAAAGACCAGAAGTGGCCAAAAACCCTGGGCCGAGCAAAGATGGAACGATGGCAGAAATAGGGCCGCAGATGTTACACCGCATGCGGCGAGCGGGGGGATCAGAGATGCAACTATAGATGTTGGCCCATGCCTTCTGCTGGCGACCGATGGGAGTGTCTGCCCTCTTGAGAACATGGAACCACTCGACCAGGAGGTCGAGCACATCCACGACGGCAGGGCCTTTGGAGCCGCGTCGAAGGGCCAGCACCGTGGTCAGACATCCCACTCGTTCTGCCCTTACACAGCTCTAGCCGCAGCCTGCCTTATCCGTCTATGCCGGCTTGGTGGAGCCCCAAAAAGCTTGGACTCATACGTGGCCTGGGGAGACGGCTCCTGTTTTAAAACAGTCGGGGGCGGATATCTTTGCATCAGGGACTGAAGCGTGGCAGTTTGACGAGCACGCCTGACACCTTTTGTGCCAGCATCGAAGCCCCCGGCCACTACGAGCGCGCGCGTTGTTTCCTCGGCCCACCCCGAGGCCTGGGACACTTCGACAAGCATGGATGGCGCCGCCTGCCTCGCGAAGGTCAGGGGCGATCATGCGCGCGAAATGACCAGTAGCAGCAGTGGCTCATGACGTGGGCGACAAGGAAAACCGATGGCATCCAGCCATTGCACGAAAGCGGTGGCGAGCGAAACGGCCCCGCAAATAAGCGCATCACGCGCGCCCCCAGAACGCGAATTGCCGCCATCAACCCAAGTGCGAGCCCCAAGTCCTGACTGGAACCTTGAATTCAAATCGGACGCGGCCGAACTGCACACGCGCAGCCACGCGCTGGGCGGACCGACATCCTGCCAATAGTCCCCACCCCGCGGAGATGGGGCCCGAGAAGGAACGGAGGCTCCGAAGGCAGCGGGAAGCGAGGCACGGCTGGATACTCAAAGCGTGGGCCACGCATGGACACTTATGCTTAGCGCCCAAACGCATGACCATGACTGGATCAAGGCTGCCGCAGAAACTGTCAACACGCAACCACGCCGAAGATGTGGACACATGAACCTCCGCCGCGCACACGTCGATCACCAGGCGTCGAAGAGTGGGCTGCACAGCCGAATTTCCTTTGACGACGTCATCGAGCCGAGTCCGCGCCCGGGGCTCAACGGGCCAGCGATCGGCGATGTCCCCTCGCACCTGCCACCACAGCGCAGCAACGCGGGAAGCACTAGCAACGCTGCGATCTGTGCGAGACTCGTTCGGGAGCAGCGCGATGCAGGCCCCCTGCGCTTGCCGGGGCCACGTTGCCCGCTTCTCCATCTCACTAAACAGATCAAGCAACCCCAGGCGACCGTCAGAGGGCAGCCAGGCAACATCTCGGGCGCCGACGACGATGCACCCGCGCGATTCGCGGCCGGGGGCGCGCGGGAGGATCGATTCCGACGGGGGGGGCCCAACGCAGGCAGAGGAGGACATTTGAAGGCAGTCTCTCTGGCTTCTCTAAACGCCTGATCGAGCGCGCGGCAACTGTCGCCACGAGTCCACGTCTTGGTCCACGACTGGGCTCTGACGCGCGTCAGCTCGATGGGGGCGGAAATGGGAATGCGCCTTCACGCGCCGCTTCGACTGCGCTTCGGGGCCTGGGCTTGAGGAGCTGATGTAGACCACCAAGACTGCTAGGCTCAGCGGCCCAGCCCGCGAAACTTGTCAGAGCGCGCTCCACGACTGCCCTGGAAGCGGGCCAAAATTCCGATCCGCCGCATCAGCAAGCGCTGCAATCTACGCGGCGCTAAGAATCGGGACTTCGCCCAGCGCTCGACCCCAGGAATCAGCGGCAGCACTGCCCACGGGGGGCAGTCCGAGATCAACCTGGCGAGGCCCGCGGGGGCCAATGCGATCCAACAATATCCGCGGCGTCTCTCTCGGGGCCCGACTTGCGCTGAGGGCGCGGCTGGGGAAACTTAAATACGAGCTCGATACGCCCCACCAATGAAACATCGCTGCGCACTGACTGAAGGGAGGGGCGTCTGAAACGCCACTGCCTTGACGAAATGGAATTGGATGGGCCCTATCCTTGCAGGCGCGCTCGGACTCGGCGGAGACGGCGGAAGCTGTTCATCTGGAGGTCGGAAAGGGGCGCGGCATAAAGGGGCACGGTGCTCATCGTGGAAGTGGCGATGCTATCTGCGGTAAAAAACATCGCCTGAGTTCCTTTTACATGAAATCAACAACCAATCCCCTTTGATACCACAACACTTTCCTACCACCAGAGTTCAGGGGGGGACGGCACGAAGAACAGCTTCGGACATCGGCCGGGGTTCCTCGAGACACGAGGGCCCGGGCATCTGCTCGCCCATGGGAATTCAGGGGGGCCCTGGCGTCGAGGGGCGGCCCCAGGGAGAGGGGGGCCCTCGGGGGGCCCTCGGGAGGGGGCGGCGGGCCACCTTCGCCC